TTCCCGCTCAATAAACTTGAAGGCTCCCAGTATCTCGTAAGGTATTTTCTGGGCGACTAATTCTTGTTCAAGCCGACGGTTAATGGTTATTCTATCAATCTGCGAATATTTTTCTCTTCTCTTGCGATTTTTTTCATCTTTTTCTAACTTTCACTTTTCTCGCTTCTCTTCGTTTCTCTTTCCTCTATTCTTCTTTCATCACTTTTTTCAATATTGGCTTTGCCTCTCCCTTGGAGTTAACTGTTTTTTTTTTTTTTTTTGCTGTCATTTCTCGGTTTCATAATAAGTTCAGTGAGTTCAGCCCGCTTTCTAATTAATCTCGAAACCGAGAAGGAAACTTAACTAACTTACTAACGGACTGCCCTCGCTCAACTTAACATTATATAAGTTATTGTTTATTATCCTTTTAAAATTAGTGAAACATTGATGGAAGATGAGTATCCTTACTGAAACTGTTCGTGTGAGTGTAAAAAAGGAAGGATATTGAACTGCCCGACCGGAGTACTTAAATATTAATGACTAAATTTGCTATCCTCCGAGCTAAAAAACGCAAGGAAAACAGAAAAAATCGCAAAAAAAGCAAAAAAATTAAGAAGAATGGAGAAAGTTCGCATAACTAATTTACGAATTATCGAAAAGTCCGATGTTGGTGGCAATTACTACTATGTAATTTTCAATAACGATGAGCCAGAGGACAGCATCAAGAGAGTTTTCTTTGCTTTTGCTAATCGCGTTAAACGCCATTGGGAAGTATTGAGCAGCAGTTATGACAACTTGAAGGAAGTAGAGATCGAGTACGAACCCCACGAAAAAGGCAATCGGGTAGTGAATATTGTCGATTACGCTGTTTATCTATAAATAATGCTAGGTGTGAAATGTTTACACTTTTTACACCGCGAAAGAGTTTGGCAAAGTTCTATTACATTCAAGACATTACTAAAAAAAAAATAGTTTAAACATGAACTTAGACGCTCTAACTAAGGAAATTAAGGAAAAAGTTAGCGAGGGTACCAAGCCTTCGGATCTCAAAAAGAAAAGAGGGCGGCC